AAAGATCAACGCCCCAAAACCCCAAAACCCCAAAACCCCATAATCCTTATAAATGAATAGTATTAATGAAATTATGAATAAAATAGAAAAGTTTCAATTATTAGCTCTGAAGCTTGAAGAAAGTACTGAAGCACTCTGATTTGTCTGTATTCTGCTAATATCTTAGCCGATTTAGTTAACAGACTCGCCTACTAAAATATACCCATCTCCATTATTACTGTTTCTTTTTTGATTTCTCTTATATAAGTTCTATGAAATTTGTTTGCTTTTAAGATTGGATAGTAGTTCTTCTTTAGAACTTAGAGTCTCAACCAATTATGTGATATCTGATTTGATTTAGCTGAATGACAAATCTTGCATCTATTTTTAGTTATAATTTAGGTCACTCCTGTTTTATTTTTTTAGTTAGTCTTGTAAACTTTTATATCTGACCTAAAGATCTGAGATTTCTCTTTCAATGTTGATTATTTAATCATTAATCTCATACTACTGTTCTCTCTAACTATTATAGCATTAAGCACAGGTAATAAACTTACTCCATAAAGGTAGGATGAAGGATAAGTGAGCTATGACTCATATTCTAAAGTTTGTTTAAAATCTTTTTAGAACTATGCTAGAGATTGTTGTCATTAATGTGCTAGAAATATTCATATCTTGGTTCATGAGATATTGTTGGTTCATCTTCTAAAGTTTGAGACTCAAGTAGAGGCAAGACTTATGGCACATTGACAGGGGAATATCCAGTCGATAACTAATTAAGTCTCACACTCTCGAGTACAAAGTTATCAGGTTTATCGAAATTTAGAGCTTTCTTTTATGATGATTTATGCCTATTGATGGTAATAGTATTTTGCTAAAATCTTTTTGTCTAACTAGAATTTCTTTTAAGAGACTTGCTTTATGAGCTTGAATTTCTGATAAAAGATTTTTAGATATGCTATTTGGGGACAACAATCAACTGGGATTACTTATTCAGCTTTTGAACAGATTAAGACCTTGCTAAAGGGTCTTTTTTCGAGGTGGAATTATTATTTGATAATCTTCTAGTCTAACGATCAATCGTCTTTTCCTTCTTTAGAGAATTATGGCTGGCTTTCAAGCTTTGTTCTCTTATTTTAATGAAATTTTTACCATATATCTAATGATAACTTCTTAATTCTTCCTGTAAGTATTTCAGGCTAAGATTCAGTTCGATATTCTCTTACTTAATTTCTTTCATTTTCAATTTCAATTTCTAGTAATCTTAGTTCTCCTACTTGATTATCTATTATTTATGAACGTCTTTTTGATACTATCTTTTGAGCTAATCATATTTTTTCTTTATCTATACATTCTCTTCATGCTGCTGAGCGATCTTTATCTTATGATTTTATAGATCGTTTTCATTCTTTTATGCCATTTATTGAATGACCATTTCTATTTACTATATATTTTGCTTGGTCTGGTTAATTTCTTCCCGCTATGAAGCATCTTATTTTGTAAGATTTTTAGTCAACTTTTTAAGATTAGTAATTATTGAGTCTTTACTTTCCACTTACTCTCTAAATTACTGTTTCTCCTATATTTTATTATTGATTCTTAAATTACTATGGAATTCATTTCTAGATGTCTTTTTTTCTCATCCTCGACCAATTTTAATTGCTGCCTTAAAAGAGTCAATTGTTCTTTCAGCTGATAATTTTATTGATAAAGCATATTAACATTTTAAGATTATTCTTGTACTTTTTAATGTTTCAGTGCCATATTTTCTGTCTCAAGTTCTTTTACTTTATCTTATAATGCTTTCAAAGCTTAAACAGTAGCTAAATATAAATTAACAAAATATGATTACCATTGCTGGGTGATCGAGTAGTTGGTGAAAGACTTGTCATTAAAAGGCTATTCTAATTTGGATTAGTAATAATTGTTTGATTCATACTACTATTTAGATTAGGCTTGAGCCTCATAGGGATTTGAAAATTTGGCTGTCTTTAAGGAAATTACTATTAATCACCTCTGCTACTAAGATCCAAGTTTTGATTTTACAATTGAAAATTTTCGATATTCATCTATATCTATTCATTCGTTAAGCCTGTTCCACTTACATTGTTAGAATTTGTATGATTTGGAAGAAGAAATATTGAAGACGAGGTTAGATTATGCTAACTACCGTTTTATTTATTTTAAGATTGATGATAGTACTGCTACTATTGCTGATTTTATGATGATCTCAATAGTAATTCACTTAACATTAACGATTCTTGTTCACTTAATGGGTCATACTGCTAATTTATGACCTATTCATAGGATGTTTAAAGGTTATTTTTCTGATGGTGCATTTGAGACATGTTTTGAGGATTTTAAATATACAGGCTGTCTAAATTATTTTAATTCTGCATTATCAAGGAATTTTGATTTATAAGATTTTAGTGATGACTCGAGGCTAGCTCAGAGATTGAAAGATTTCATCTTTAATTATTATTATGATGGTTTTGAACTATATCTAGGCTACCTTATGATGAAGTTTAATTGTTACTTGTTAGTAGTTGTTGCTGACCATAGCTATTAACTGTTGTATTATTCTATGAAGGTTAAATAAAGTTCTACTATTGCCTATTTGATTGGCTCATTCTTTGATTTTGAGGTATTCCATATTAATTCTAGATCTTCTCAATCTCATTTTCTAATAGAGAGAGTTCAATATTCATATTTTGATTCATTTTATTGTTAAAATTCTATTTCTTATAAATCCATGAGATTCCGGCTATCAGGGGTTTTGGGGTTTTGGGGTTTTGGGG